TTAATTTTCATTGGAGTAAAAGATAGATTCATGTTTTCGCCTTCATTTGATTACCAGAAAAATGAAAATACACAACACAGAATTTGTAAAAAAATAAGTAAATAAAATTAAAATTTCATAGGGCCCTATTATTGTATACAAATTAATAAATTAAGTTGTTTTTATCAATTCAATTAATTAGATATGTTTTTGATTAAACCATTAAAATGGAATACAGAAAAAAAAAGAAGAAAAAAAAGAAAGTGCAGAACTTGGGCCCTAAGAATGTAATTTTTGTTAAACATTTAATAGGCCTAAATTGCTGTTAAATTAAACAAGTTTCATGATTTTAATTAATTAGACATGTTTTTTGTTCAAATGTAATATAATCATCCAGAACAATTAAAAAGAAAAAGAAAAACTGAATCCAGAAAAATTTAAACGGAAGAAAAGATTTTGGGAAAAATAAAACGGATTTCATAGGGCCCTACAAATAGCATGCATCTGAAGCTATAATTTTAATACTAAGCAACAGTGCATATTATACAGGGCCTATTTTAATTTTTTTAAATGGCGCTCACTCGTTTTTGTGAAAGACCCAAGAAGGTAAAGAAATCCTTTATTTATAACATATGCATGAAAAATCGAAAAGATTAGACACAGTTATGGGACACGGTCGTGCAGCAGCGAGCAACAGTGAAAGGAGCCTCAAGGTTGTAGATGTGTGAAATTGTATAGGGCCCCATTCCTGTATTTTGCCTGGGGCCCCCAAATCACTAAATCCGCCCCTGTGTGTGTGTGTGTGTGTGTGTGTTTTCCCTTCAGTGTTTGGGCATCAGAAACTGTAAAGTGAAGAGACATCATAAATGAATCCCAAATCTCACCCTATTAAAAATCTATTACATTTCTATTATAAATGCATTTGCGTTTTCTCTTATATCTCATGGGAACCTTTGAAATCCTTTAGTTTAGTCAAATCTGAAATTATTCCTGAAATAATTACCGCTTAAAGGTATTTTCTTTAGTTTAGAATAATTACAGTATATTAATATTAGTACTAGAGTATAGTATTGGTTTTAGGAGAAGTGGTTTTATCACCCAAATCTTTTAAGAGAATCTTACTTGGAATTTTTTTTTTTCACACGAATCAACAATGTCACAAAAGCTATCATTTTAGGTAATATATATTTTGTCACAACTGTAAGATGTGACCTATCAAAATATTGTAAAGATATTATTTAAAATTTTGATTCTTGTTAAGTATGTACTGTTAGTAGCTATCAATTACTTATTTGTTATTATTATTATTATTATTTTCCACATTACCATTCAAAACTTTGGGGTCAGTCAAAAAGTCTCCATTGCTAATAAAGACAGCATTTATTAAAATTGAATTTATTTCTGTGATATAAAGCTGAGTTTTTAGCATCATTACTCCAGTCTTCAGTGTCACATGATCCTCCAGAAATCATTCTAATGTGCTGATTCGATGCTCAAGAAACATTTAAAATGATCAGTGTTAAAAATAGTTGTGTTGCTTAATATTTTTGTGAAAACTGCTTTTCAGAAGATTTTAGAACAATTAAAAAAAAAAAATTGTAACAATGTAAAAGTCTTGTCATTTTTGATCAATTTAATGCATTCTTGCTGAATACAAATTGATTTCTTTAAAAACAGAAAACAAGAAAAGTGAAATATCTGACAGATTCAGTCCAAAACGAGCATTAGTATAAACTTGCACTACTCTAGGCTGAATCACTGAGGCATAGAAGATTTGAAAGTCTCCAGTGACTGATATGCTGCTTCTGAGCTGTCTGTTATAGTCTAACTCACAAATCATATTCACAGCCGTCTATTAGGACTTTGAGTGTCTGATTGAAGAGCGTTTTTGCAGCTGCTCTTAAAGAGAATGAGATTTGGCAGCGATTAAGGAAACCTGATCTCAGATCAGAATGAAAGAGCATCTTCCTCCCTGAGCGGCCATCAGCGCTTCCTCGCTGCAGCTATTAGTCTGTCATTACTACTGTTATTGCAGCCGGGGGGACGGGGCGTTTGGCACAGTGAGCTGGCACTCTCCACTTTCTTCTCAATACTTTTTCCTTCCTTTTTTTGTCTCTTTCAGCAAGCTGCCCAGCTGGGCCAAAGCTGTGGTGCCCAGAATCTTCTATGTGACGGAGAAAGCATGGAATTATTATCCCTACACCATTACCGGTAACTACAGCTTCTTACTCGCAAGCATACAGTGCCATTGTAATTGCTTAAAGGAATAGTTCACCCCAAAATAAAAATGGCTGAATATGTGCTCACCCTCAAACCATCAAAGATGTAGATGAGTTTGTTTCCTCACAGAACAGATTTGGAGAAATTTTGCATTACGTAACTTCGATGGATCCTCTGCAGTGAATGGGTGCCGTCAGAATGAGAGTCCAAACATTTGTGCTCTCACAACAAAATTGACCAACATATTTGTTTAGGACTGTTTTCTCTTCTAAGCGGTGCTTGATCTGTGCATATTTCTCTCCTGATTCAGACGAGACGACTTTTTCACTGGAAAAAGCAATATTATGGACATAGGACCGTATTTTAGCCAGAAACTGCGATTTGGAATTTAAAAATGCTTTAATGATGGATTTGTTTCTTACAAACATGCAGCTTTTTACTTCACGGGACATTAATTGATGGACTGGAGTCATGTAGATTACTTGTGGATTATCGTGATGTTTTTATCAGCTGTTTGGACTCTCATTCTGACGGCACCCATTCACTGCAGAGCATCCATTGGTGGGCAAGTGATGTAATGCTACATTTCTCCAAATCTGTTGAAGTGTGAAACAAACTACATGTTGGATGGTCTGAGGGTTGGTATATAATCAGCGAACTTTCATTTTTGGGTGAACTATTTCTTTTACATATATCTTGTGATACTGTGGCAGTAGCATACTTTAACTTTATCTGAACTACTCTATTTTCTTCATGTTATTGCTTCATCATGATGACAGTATATCATGACCATAGAAGAAAACATGCTACTTTAGATTTGATTTATGTTAGATAGGATAATAGTTTATTTGTTGTTTTCACTACAAAAAAAAAATTATTTGTGCGTCTAATTCTTAAAACAGTAACGGGACACCAAAGTGTATTCTATTTTTGGAAAGTGCCACTGTTCACTGCTACTATGAATAGGTCTGATCTTAAATATGTGCAGAATGTTGTTTTTCTATGGCTAGTCTCGGCTCACTGAAGAACATGTATGTTATGATGCAGTGAACATCTATGATCTACTTCTGTAAAATTAGACCTCTAAATATCAAATAACAATTTGTGAACAAAAGAAATAATGTACTTTCAAATAAATGAAGTACTTTAACAAATACAAGGACAAATACGCACCATAAAAGTACTGTAACAACATGTGGATGAGTAAATAATGACAGATTTTTGATTAATATTTTAATTATTCCATTAAGGATCTTATTTGAGCAGATGTATATACAGTCTGAATCTTAAATGTGACAAATGACATTCGTCAGGAGCATCTTTTTGACATATACTGAAAGGGAACACATGGACATATCAGAGATGTGTGTGTGCATGATAAACACACACACACACCACTCAAAATACATGCGCATATTTTTATTTTTATCACACACACAGAACTTCAATTCCCTGAAGAACTGAAGGTCTTTCTGTGATTGAATGTTTGATGGCTTCAAGACTGCTATGTGCTTATGGCTATGACCTTTAACATGAAGTCTCTCTTTCTCTTTCTGTCTCTCTCCCCGTCATCTTCTCGATCCATCTCCTCCCCCACCATTGGCTTAGAGTATACAGTGAGTATGGCTTCTTCTTCTTCTATTTATTTGTGTGCTTGAAACTCAAAAGCAAGCACACACAAGCACACTCAATTTCAATACTTCAACAAAATGAATATGCTAATAAACACACTCACTTCATTAAATCATTACATTTTAATAGACAGTATTCAATTAGAACAGTTAGGACTTTGTACTGCCGATACTGTACAAGGACATTTTCTATGTAGGCAGTTCAAATCAAGCTCACTAGGATTTGGAACAGAGCTACAGTGTCTGGAAGCTGATTCCCCTTAACCACCAACCATGTTGTTATGCTATCCCAGAATGCACCGTTCTTGTTTTCCCTTGCTGTGCTGCAATATAATTAGAGTGTATTGGAAAACCAGGCAGACCAGGTGTCTTCAAGCTCCTTGGAGACCATATTAGGTTTCATGGAAAACCTTGTGCTTATTCGAAAGAGCAATATACATTTTAACACCTCAGGACTCCTCTGAGCCTTATGAATATATTGAAGGTCTAAGGTATTGGGACCTTAGGGGCCATTCACACAGAACGCGTTTTTACATCTAAAAATATGAGGCATGGAATGAAAAAACACGTTTTTGAAAAATATGACTACTTTTAACTTGAGAGCTGCATTTTTAGAGTGCTGTGTCATAAATGAGATGCTGAAAAAGATGTGAGATCAAATCTATGTCCATCTAGCGCATGTTTAAATAACAATAACAATGAAAAAAGTCTTCTGTGACTTAGACTTTAGTTGGGGACAGTGTTGGGGAGTAACGTAATCAGATTACTTTTTTACACAATTAGATTAATTTTTCAAGTAACTAGTAAAGTAACACATTACTTTTAAATTTACGACTAAATATCGGAGTTACTTTTACAAATAAGTAACGCAAGAGACAGAGGTACTATCTTCCGCCTGAGGCTTAATAATTTAACTTTTGGTGTGAAAGGGCCTTTACGGTTGTCAAAAATATACATTTTGGGATTATATATATTTTTTTTTACAAAAAGAAATAAGCAAGCTCAGCTCAGGTGACAGAAAGTAATGCAAAAGTAACATAATGCATTACTTTCCATAAAAATTTACTTTCACCCATTTCAGGAATGTTGTAGCTAATAATAATAATTATTATTATTATTATATAGGCCTAAATTCAAGATTATGTATCTGAATTGCATGTAAAATTTCCATCCATTTGAATTAAACACATTAAATGTATTCATTTGTTTATGTTAAAAGTGTTTAAATGTTTGTTTTATGTTAAAAGTGTAAAAGTGTTCAGTCCAAATGGATGGAAATTTTATGTGCAATTTATATGCATAAATCTTAAATAGATTTTTTTGAGTATGAAATGGAAAGTGATGAAAGTCAACAGCAGCAGCATGACAGGTTGGTTTAAATGAGCGGTGGAGATGGGTGGAGGATTAAGGCTTAACTTAAGCTGGCCGACAGTCTGTGGATCTTGGAGTGGCTCTGCGTGCTGTATCTGTACCTAGAGATGAATGAGAGAGCTCTTCATCGGAATACCATTATCATAATCAACCATATGCCAGGAACAACAGGATACAAACCGCTCAAATGAGAGCAGTGGAAGACGAGAAAAGCCCAAAGGATGCACAAAATGGAAACCGCTACATGTAAATTTGTGACAGTCACTTCTTTAACTCCAGGCTGTTTTGAAATACACTCATTTATTAGCTTAATGTTTATGGAGACAATATATATTTATAAATACATGTCTTAGATGAGTTTTTTTTGTCCTTGTTCTAAAGAAATTGCAGTCAACATATCAAAGTTTCAAACTTTTATTTTATCCGATGCTAATTTAATTGAGTGCAACAGTAGAGCTCGGGGAGTACAAATCCCATTCATTTTCTTCATAGAGATATTGATTTTTCGCAGTAACATAAACCTTTTAAGACAGTCCTGCCATGAGCTCAGAGGTTGTTAATTTATTGTATATGCTTGGGTTGGAGCCACACGTAAACAACATTTCTAAATAATAAAAATGCATGCAGTTCCCAGGGAAAAACTACACTACCCATAATCCTGAAGAGAGCTCCACCAATCAAAGAAGTCACTGCTATCATGTGATCAACGTGGTTTCTGTACTCTCTCAAACTACTTGTATTTTTAAATGTATCCAAATATTTTGCGATAAACCTAAAATGTATTGTTTTTATAATGACTGTAAGTCAGTAGTTTTATAATGTACTAGAGGTCAACCGATTGATCAGTTTGGCTGATTATTCGGCACTGGTAACTGATTGCTGAAACAATGGGCAAGAATCCATTGTTGGAGCGGTTGAGAAGGTCCGCTGTCATTATACAGTACGAGAGCAACCTCTAGAGGCCAAATCACTGACAGCCCCTGCTGTTTGTTTTGACATAGACAACTAAACGCTATATTTTTAGTACACTACCGTACATGTTTTTATTATAAAGTAATTAATGTTGACTAGATGCTGCATTAATGGAGAACAGCAGTATGTTTGCCATCAAAGCTGAGAGGAGGTTAACTTTAGTAGTGCCTCATGTGGTTAAATAAAAGTTCAACCTACATTAAATGTTTAATGTCACAATTGTTATTATCTGTTTGCATTAGTTTATAACAAGCTGTTGTCGTTATTGGCCAGTGCGGTGCAACCTAGTTATCATAATCAATAAAATCCACTAGCGGTTGGCCTCTGTAATGTACCATCATTTCTGATTCACTTATATCATTCACAGTGCTTTATGGTGCGAGTAGTTCATTCCCTCATACACAGTGTTGTAATGATCTTTTTTCCAAATTTCTAATACTTTTTGTTCAAGATCAGAGTTGCATGTTGTCTTGGAGCTGGTTGGTTTGGTTCATGTCTTACAAGAATTTTTTGAAGAATCCTTTGAAATCTCTATGGAGAAAATGAATGAGAAAAATACTGCTGGCACCCAGGCTGCAGAAAATGTGGGTGTTCACTGCTCTGTTTTGCCAAAATGGAGACTTCCAATATATTCCCTCTAAACTAATTTCATTTTATTTGGATAGCATCCATAGTACAGATATGTAATGGCAAATATACTTCTTATTCTGTAAGCTGTTATTATTGGAGTCTCTGTGATGCCCTGTAGTGTGTGCTGAGAATACAGTAGACTAAAGTACAAAACTAATATAGGAAAATAGATTTTATACATTTTAAAATTGTGTACATTTAAATAATATAGTTGTCAGACTTTGTTCCGTGTTTTGTGTGTGTTTTGCTCCCCATGTGCCCTCCTTGCCCATATTTGGTTAGTTTCCTGTTCCTGTCCTGATTATGTTGATTTAATTCCAGGTGTTCCCCGTTTATTTCCATTGATCCCAGGTGTGTCTCATCATCCCCTCGTCTTGTCATATGTTTAAATAGTGTTCCCTGTTTTTAGTTCAGCGTGCGGTATTGTTAATGTCTACATGTGCTACATGAGTTTTCCATGTTTCCTTAATGTTATTAAACTTCTCTGGATTGATGTACTCCTCGTCTCCCTCCGTTCCTTTCTCTGCACTCCACTCAGTAGTGCAACCGTGACAGAATACCGTACCAAAAAGAAATGACTGCAGCTGAGGATGCACTGTGGGGTTTGCGGCAGGGCGGTCTGAGGTTGGAGCGATATGTGGAGGGTTTTCTCGAGCTCTCTAACCGGGTGAGCTGACGCTGCTCTAGGTGCGTGCTTCCTGCTGGGGTTGGATGACGAGATAATTCGCTGCAATCTTCCTACGTGTGATTTTTCCCCTGATCGAGCTGATTAATCTCGTGCTGTTCTTAAATGGTTCAGATTTTGAAGTGGAAGAAGTAAAGAAACTTCCCAAGCCTTGTCATCCAACTCCCGCTGGAACGTGCCGCGTCTCCCCAGCTCACCCCACGCCGAGAACCTCCACATACCGCTCCTACCGCTTGCCCAACCCCAAATTCCCCACTGTCCTCCGAAGCTCCACCCTAGTCGTCAGCCCAGTATGGCCGGCCGCTCCCCAGTCAAGTCCGCCGTCTGCGGCTCTCTCCAGCCCACCGGCCATTCCGATGTCAGGCCCGCCGGCCGCTATGAAGTCAAGCCCACCGGTGGCGGCTCTCTCCAGCCCGCCGGCCGCGGCACACTTAAGCCCCTGTTCTTAAATGGTTCAGATTTTGAAGTGGAAGAAGTAAAGAAACTTCCCAAGCCTTGTCATCCAACTCCCGCTGGAACGTGCCGCGTCTCCCCAGCTCACCCCACGCCGAGAACCTCCACATACCGCTCCTACCGCTTGCCCAACCCCAAATTCCCCACTGTCCTCCGAAGCTCCACCCTAGTCGTCAGCCCAGTATGGCCGGCCGCTCCCCAGTCAAGTCCGCCGGCCGCAGCTCTCTCCAGCCGTTCTGATGTCAGGCCCACCGGCCGCTATGAAGTCAAGCCCACCAGCCGCGGTTCACTCAAGCCCGCCGGCCGCTACGAAGTCAAGCCCGCCAGTTACCGCAACGACAAGCCCGCCGGCTGCTCAGTTCACCCATAACCAAAGGAGGAGGACGAAGAGAAAAGGACTGTTCTCTGCCTTCATCCTAGACCCAGAGCTCGCTCCAGTGTCGGCTCCAGCCCCTGAGTTTGCTCCAGTGCCAGCTCCTCGAAAGCGCCTTGCTGTGCCTGCTCCTCCAGAGCGCCCTCCAGTGCCAGCTCCTCGTAAGCGCTTCCCAGTTCCCAAATCTAGCCCAGTGAGGGTTCCTGATTCCCATTGAGCCCAGGGAGGGCTCCAGTCCCCTGTCATGGCCCACAGAGGGCAGCCTCAGAGGCTGCTTTGCCATGGCCTCCTGAACTAACTGCTCCACCGTGGCCTCCTGGGCTGCCAGATCGGCCATGGCCCCCCGAGTCCCCTGCTCCGCCATGGCCTCCGAGTCTGCCTGTCCCGTTTATTTCCATTGAACCTAGGTGTGTCTCATCATCCCCTCGTCTTGTCATGTGTTTAAATAGTGTTCCCTGTTTTTAGTTCAGCGTCCAGTATTGTTCATGTCTACATGTGCTACGTAAGTTTTCCGTGTTTCCTTAATGTTATTAAACTTCTCTGGATTGATGTACTCCTCGTCTCCCTCCGTTTCTTGCTCCACACTCCACTCAGTAGTGCATCCGTGACACTAGTAGCTTTAAATGTAATATCAAATAGCACACTTCAGATAAATTATAATCAAGTACTTCACATTTACTTTAGTATGTGAGTCAACACATCAAAATAAGTGTACTTCACAATAAAAGAGTATTAAAACAATGATTTAAAATGTACTTTAATGTACAGCTTTTTATTTGACATCATTACATATTGCACTTTTCTAAAGTGTACTTAAGTGTGTTAAGAAACAGTCATGAAAGTGTCTCTCTAGGTTCACTTAAGAAGTCTTTTATTTCAGTAATATTACATTAGATATTTTTATTAATACCATATGTTTTTTAAACTAAATCATTTTAAGATTTGAAGCACAATACAAGTGCATTCCATACAGTTAAGTTCACTTCTTTTTCACAAGGGTAGTTACATATTTGCCCCATTAAAAGCTTCAGTATAGTACATTAGTATAGTAAATTACAGTTTATTTTTGTCAGCATGAAATGTAGCCAACTAGTTTTTCAAAAGAGCTCGACTATAGTTTAACTACTTTTAAACGATGAGTAGTTTGTAGCTTGGCATGCTACAGTTTCAAACCGCGATTTAGGTTTTGAAACAAGAGTCGTAACTCAACAACGCCTTGCGGGTTTGCACCCATAGATCTGCTCTTCTTCTCTTCTCCTCGATCCTTTGCCCTTCCCCCACTGCTACAGCATTTCCTCCAGCATTACGTAACTCAGTCTTTATTGATCTCCATAGCGATTGCGGGAGCAGTGCTTAATCTAATCAGGCAGCAGTGTGTTGGGTCTCAGAGGGGCTACAGCTTCAGGACGTGTGGGGAGGAGAGAGGAGGAGGACAGGGAGGCTGTAAATCCAGTGAGGCAGAAAAAGAGCTCATCATTACAACAAAGCGCCAGGCTCATAAAACACAATCACACTGAAGCGCATTGCCCTGCAGTTCACCAGATCTACTGAGAGCATGCATGCAGTGTGTTCATGAACGAGGCTGGGTCGAGGCTTTGACCCTTCTTGATAGATGTCTAAAATTAGTTACTGGACTCAATAGAATTAACCGTTGCATGTCGTTTGTGGTGGGGTTATTTTTCCCTAATTGTCTGTTGATTCATTATATGCAGAGGTAATAAAGTATTTACATACTTAAAGGAAAAGTTCATTGAAAAGTGAACATTTGTTGAAAATGTACTTACCCTCCGGCCATTCATATAGTTGATGTTTCTTTGTTGGAACATATTTGGAGAAATTTAGCATTACATCACTTGTTCACCAGTAGATCATCTGCAGTGAATGGGTGCCGTCAGAAGGAGTTCAAACAGCTGATTAAAACATCACAATAATCCACACCACTCCAGTCCATCACTTAACATCTTGTGCAGCGAAAAGCTGCGTGTTTGTTTATAAGAAACAAATCCAACATTAAGATGTTTTTAACTTCAAACCTTTGCTTCTGGCCAAAATATGAGTCCTCCCTCCATAATATTGCTTTCTTCAGTGAAAAAAGTCATCTCTGAATCAGGAGAGAAATCAAACACCATTTATAAGCAAAAACTATTTTAAACAAATATGTTGGTGGATTTTGATGTGAGAGAACCACAGGGATGGACTTTATCACTGGATGAAGCATTATTATGGATTATGGGCTTATTATAAGCAACAATTTCAAGTTAAAATGTCTTGATGGATTTGTTTCTCACAAACACACAACTTTTCACTTCACAATACATTAATTGATGGACTGGAGTGGTGTGGATTACTTGCGGATTGTGTTGCTTTTATCAGCTGTTCATTCTGACGGCACCCATTCACTGCAGAGGATGCATTGGTGAGCAAATGATCACTAAATTTCACTAAATCACTAAAATGCTAAATTTCTCCAAATCTGTTCCCATGAATAAACAAACTCATCTCCATCTTGGACAGCCTAAGGGTAAGAACATTTTTTAGTTTGGGTGAACTATTCCTCTATTCCTACCTTTAAGGAGCACATCAATTTATGAATGACATTATGTTAAATAGCATGTCAAACCAACTGTCAAGTTTTAATTAAATAAATCAATAAAAATCAGAAAGTAATCTTTGTTTGGTTCGAAATAAAACAATAGATGCACTCTTGAAAACGAAGACAAATATGTGGTTGTCAAACAAATGTTAGTGCATTATGATGATTGTCATCAATGTGATTGTCTGTTTCCTCTGCTGTGTGAGTTTGGAGAAATTAATATATCCACACACAAAAAAAACAAAACAAAGCAAAACACGAGCTGACTCAAATACATTGAGCAAAAATAATGAGGAAAAGTGAGGGAAAAAAGCTTGTTTTGTATTTTGTGTGCAGCTGACACTTGATTTGATATGTTTTTAAGTATCCAAATACATTCTAGGGTGGCTGTTTTTGCCTAATTTAACTCATTTTTGACACATTTAACTTTTTTTTCTCTCTTCTTCAGTGCTCTTTCCTGCCAAAGTTCTCCATCCACGTTGAGACAAAGTATGAAGACAACAAAGGCATCAGTGACAATGTATGTATATTGGATGCAGTGTAAATATGCATGATTTCCTCTTTCCTGGTCTTTTCTCAATTGTCTTTCATCTAAATCTTTTCTGTAAAGTGAAATCTGTTGATCGTGTGGAACGAGAGAACTGATGATCAAAACTAACAACTAGAAAGCCTAGTAGAGTCTCGGAAACAATTTGTGGCATCACTAGATTTAATGTGCTTATAGTTGTGGGTCTTCCCCTGTTTATTTATTACTTTGATTAAATATTCATGCATTATTAAAGGAATAGTTCACACAGAAATGAAAAGTCATTGAAATTTCACCCTCTGGCCATCCAAGAACCATGGGTTTGTTTCTTCATGGGAACAGATTGGAGAAATTGAGCATTGCATCATTTGCTCACCAATGGATCCTTTACAGTGAATGGGTGCCGGCAGAATGAGAGTCCAAACAGCTAATAAAAATATCACAATAATCCACACCACTCCAGTGGGTTAACCAATAATATGCACAGATCAAGCACCATTAACACGTGAAAAACAGTCCAGACCAGAACATTTCAAAACAAATGTGTTGCTGGATTTAGATGTGGGAGGACAACAGGAGATGGACTTGTTCACTGGAGGAAGCATTATTATGGTTTATGGACTTGTATTTTGGCCAGAAGTGACCATTTAAATTTAAACACCTCAGTAATAGATTTGTATCTTAGAACATCTTCACAAGATGTTAATTCATAGACTGGATGCGTGTGGATAACTTGTGGATTATTGTGATGTATTTATCAGCTGTTTGGACTCTCATTCTGAACGGTACCCATTCACTGCAGAGCATCCATTGGTGAGCAAGTAATGTAATGATACATTTCTTCAAATCTGATTCAAAGAAGAAACAAATTCATGGTCCGAGGGTAAGTTTTCAGCAAATTTTAATTTTTTGGTAAATTATTCTCCTAAAATATTTGTCATCAGCTGGATTTCAAGCTATAAAAAGTACATAGAATCAACAGTAAAGTAGTCCATAGGATGTCACTCACAAATCTCATTCACACTTGTGCGTATTCATATACATGTATGATGACGTTCTGATAAACATCTATTTCATGGAAGAAAGAACCCTTTGCAGGTTTTAAACTAAGTGAGGTTCAGTAAATGACGACAAAATTTCAGTATCTGCGGCTGAGCTACATCGCTATTATTTACTGGAATGTTTTCAGAGGTTTTGACTTCCTTAACACTGTGTAAATCTAAGTGGAAGAAACCCACTAGCCAAAAACCGCTTGTGATTTCAGATGGGATTGGTCCTGGAGAGAGTTTCAGGGTGAGCTTGACTCTTTAATAATGCTGGCCTGCAGTCAGTCTGAAGAGCTTACATGTATCAGGATTGTTCCAGACGGCGGTTACGGTCTGTCTGAGCCTGTGCTGTCTGTGCTGTCCCGAGCTTCTCCGCACACATGCTCACTCGCTCAGAAAGAATTTCGCTTTGTTTTATTCCTTTGCTCTTGCCATCAAGGAACACTTTTATCCTCTGCCCCAAATGAGAGCATTTTAAAGATCACTCACTGCAGGCGGATAGTTCTTCCTCTTCTGTGATCAGTTTGAGGCGTGTGTGGGTTTGTTTGAAGATCTAACATTTACAAATGATGTGCTTGAACTTACAATGATTAAATGTGCTTCAGAGAGGGAGAGAAATCAGTTGTACAGTGTGAAGGGATGAAGTAGTGACAACCAATGTTGTATATAAAATTAACTTTATTTTTAAAAAACATAAAAATGGAAACTATAAGGTGTTCTGAGAAAATATCTTGGAATACAAGATGTTGCATTTTCAAACTATAATGACAAGAAAAATGATTGATAGCAGACAAAGTGATTGAATGATATGTGAATGTGCTTGTGGGAACTGTAAAGGAGAGGTGTAGGAGCCAGGTAGCATCTGTTGGGAGGTTGCGGGGTGCTGGTTGGTCCGCCTCAGGGCTATTTCTGCATCTGCAGGCGAGGAATAGCAGAACGTTGCATTCTTTCACCATCCGTGTTTCACACTCGGTTGAGATGCCAACACTTCTTTACTAACGGCGGCTGATGAGCAGAAATAGCTTCAGGTTTTATCACCCATCTCGTTCCATTGGCCATGTGCTGTTGATTTGCCCTGTCCATGGTGCTGAAATCAACCAGTGAGGGTCAGACCTATCACTCGCACAACATTAATATGGCATCTTGGGAAAATATTCAAATGAGTTATTTTAAGCATCATTACATTAAAATAAATAGCATAATTGTTTAATCCACATATTTTGACTTTTGCAGCAGTGATTTGCTATGCATATGCATGTATTTGATGCAACTATCCTGGCAAACTTGAGTCCAGTGATTCATTCTTTTTTTAAGAAGTGCATCATTCTACCAGCCTCAGACTCTGTAAACACCACTTTGTTTCCAGACCAACGGGTACCTGTGAATTTTGACTTGAGATTGGTGATTTCAGGCACTTTGATGTTAAGTTGGTCTTGTGTTTGGAACCATTGCCTCGCTGAAAATGGCATTTTATCCAGAGCATGTTTTTATCCGACTAAAGCAGGCTCTCCTGCTTCATTTCTTTGCATCTTGCATCATTAATCCTTGTGAGGAGAGGCAGCATGAGCTCTGGTGTTTTTGAGGTGTGAGCAGTGTTAGATTTGCTTTATATCCCTTTGAATTTCAGCTGAAAGCCTTTTCGGTTTTATTTGACCACAAAATCACAGATGGCTCACCATTATGCATTTTGACCTGCTCTAAACGTGCTTTCAAATGGTTCTTTTAAAGTAATGGCTTCTGTTGAGCCACCTGTGCTATTGATGCAGGTGGTTGGAGAGAGGGGGATGAAAAATAAGGGAGATTTGTGATATCAACCCAAAAAAGAACATTATTACATTTTGATGAGATTATAAAGACATTTGTATTTATTTGGATTAGTGTGCACCAATATATTTTGTGCACTATAAAACCAGAAACATGCATTAACAAAGTAAAGTGTTTTGGTTCATTCTTACTTTTAAGCTGCTGTAAGATATTTCTGCATCGCTGGTGGAAAATGGAACTGCAAACTGATCTTAGGCAGAGAATTCATAACAGAAGATTCATAACCTGAGCACATAGATTTTTGACCATTCAAAGTTTTTGACCATTATGATCTCATATTTTGCAGCCTCTCGTGCATGACACAGCATTCAAAAAACAGCACTTGAGTTAAAAAATATATATTTCGAATTTAAAAATATTTATCAAGATCTAAGGATTTCCCATTCCAAAAAGTAAAACACAAAGCAGAAAACGTGTCCTTTTAAAATAAATGCAATGAAAGGTACATTTAAAGTCTTGACATTTGGCAAACCCAAGCATGAAAACTCAATGAGGTCTATATTTTCCCCCTTTTTGTTGAAGAAAATTTAAGAGATATTTTGGATATACAATGGTGTGAAAAGGTGTTGGCCCCCTTCCTGATTTCTTATTTTTTTGCATGTTTGTTGCTTTAGAAAATGTCTTTATAACCTTTTCCAGACTGATAGATCTCAATTACTTTCTTTCTCGTTTGTTTCTGAATTTCTTTGGATCTCGGCATGATGTCTAGCTTTTGAGGATCTTTTGGTCTACTTCACTTTGTCAGGCAGGTCCTATTTAAGAGATGTCTTGATTGCGAACAGGTGTGGCAGTAATCAGGCCTGGGTGTGGCTAGAGAAATTGAACTCAGGTGTGATAAACCACAGTTTTAACAGGGGGGCAAACACTTCTTCACACAGGGCCATGTAGTTTTGGATTTTGTTTTCCCTTAATAATAAAAACCTTCATTTAAAAACTGCATGTTGTGTTTACTTGTGTTATCTTTGACTAATATTTAAATTTGTTAAATGATCTGAAACATTAAAGTGTGATAAAACATGCAAAAAAATAAGAAATCAGGAAGGGGGCCAACACTTTTTCACACCACTGTATAAAGTTTTTATTTATTTGTTAACTACATTTTAGTCTTTTTTTTTTTTCATTGACAATATTGCATATTGATATTGTATTGTCTTAGTCATGGAAAAATAGGTCATCAACTAATATTTTTAGTCCTAGTCTTTTGGAATGGGAGAAAATACAATGTCTCATTTCTTTTTAAAAGTTTAATTTATTTTAACCTGACTGTGTATTTGGACACTTACACACCTGCTGTATGTGCTTATTGAGTATTTAATTACAAAACCATGGGTATAAATAGGGAGTTTGTTCTTTGTTTGCTACTTTAACAGCTTCCACTTCTGTTTTGGAAAGACTTTCCACTGACTAAATGTTGGAAAATGGATGCACGGATTTGTTCCCATTCAGACATACGAGTGGCAGTGAAGTTAAGGCACTGACGTTTGATGATGGGGTCTTGCTGGCTGTTCCTATTGCAAGGTGTTTAGTGGGGTTCAGGTGTGAACTTTATGCAGGCCAATCAAGTTCGTCCACACCAGACTCAGTAAATCATTCTTCATGGACCTTGCTTTTTTGCTTAATCAACCACGGTCACGCTGCAGGTACAAGGGGCAGCACTTTGCTGTCTTCAGCAGAGTGATATTTGAACCCACCTCCTCGCTTGTGTCTTGTCTTTTTGCACCTGTAGAACTCTGTCTGCATCTGTAAGAGGAGAAAACACAAATCCTTGATCTGTATTCCGCCTCCTCATTGGCGTGAGAGGCTGTTTGTGATGTTTTCCCTACATTTGAGCCATGTTGGCTGCTTTGAAGTTTAAACGGCACACTCCAGCATGCATTAGTCTGCGTTGCAGCAGGAGTCTTACTTTAATGTTGCTTATCACCACCATTGGGATTTAGAGTTGGTTCTTGTGTTTTGTTCTTGGGCTTTGATAAACAAGCTTGTCCGAGTTCCGTGCTTTGACTCCGTGTTGATGCCACATTTCAGAAATTAAGGCTGATTATATTTATTAGAGCCATCATTCAAGCCCTTTTCAAATTTCCCTTTCGGTCTTCCTCCCCATCTCTCTTGATAAGGTCCACCATACCTTATTTTATAAAATATCCAGCTACTCTGTCATGTCATCCCCTTTTATTCTTTATTTTACAGTTTCAACCCATTCCTTCCTTGCTCTCACAGCTAGTGCACTTTCCTTTTGTGTCTACTTTTTAAAATAAAGAGGTTTTATACATTTCTCTCCATGTTATCCCTGAAGCTTACCGTCAGTTGGATATGAAAAGAATTACAATGTAATTGGCAAACCCACACAGGTGGCAGACAACAGGAGAGCCGTTCTCTCACCTGAAAGCACCTGATCCTTTGAAGCGGAGCTCTCTCACCCATTAAAGTCTTTGTTAGGCTGCAAGCGCGAGTGGCAGCTTAGACCGAGAGCTCCTTCTTGTGGACAGCGTGGAGTCTGCGGCTGTAGAAGTGTTGGAGACCGAGTCATATCCTGGTGACAAGTGAACAAGCTTGTGTTCATGCTGAGAGTGAATTGCTGCAATAAGCAACCGGAAGTCACTGTCAGTGAGAGTTGATGATTTGTGATGGTGACAAAGTTCAGCAGCTACTGTGGTTCAACATCCACCCATTCAGATAAAAAGAGATCATATGATTGATGTAAAATGACCAACTACAGTTTACTTGAACCTCACAAACGTTGAAAAATCCCACTCAGTGTATCAGTCTTGACTTACTTTCTTGGCGGATTGTTTAAAAACCTGTTGTTCAGTTTTGTGTGCAGTATATATCAAACTCTTGGACTGTGGGTGTGAGACTAACTAGTAACCAACAATACAGCAACTTGGCAACCAGGGGTAACTTGGTTAATCTAGGGTTGTCCAGTCCTGCTACTGGAGGGTCACTGTCCTGCAGAGTTTAGCTCCAATCCTAATTAAACACACCTGAACCAGCTAATCAAGCTCTTCCAGCCAACGTATTGGGGCAGACTGGTGATAAACTCTGCAGGATATTAGCCCTTCAGGAGCAAATTGGACACTCCTGATTTAAAGGGATAGGTTAACCACTGGTGTCACATGGACTATTTTAACAATGTCCTTATTACTTTTCTGGGCCTTGAACGTGGTAGTTGCATTGCTGTCTATGGAGGGTCAGAAAGCTCTCGGATTTCATCAAAATATCTTAATTTGTGTTCTGAAGATGAACAAATGTCTTACGGGTTTGAAAAGATGTGAGGGTGAGTAATTAATGACAGAATTTTCATTTTGGGGTAAATGATCCCTTTATTCAGTTAGTCTACTACTGCAAAGAGCCACAAGTGACAAGGTTTTCTGTTAGTTGCTTGATTTCCACTCACTGTAATATATTATCCCCTCCCCATATCTGTATTTTACAGATCAAATATGTTCAGATTGTGTTGCATCTCACATCATTGTTGCTTTCAGTGTGAACAAAGGAAACTTGTTACATCACATCTGGTTAAAACTAATTTGACGTTTAAGTGCATCCTGACATTTTTTTTAGTAGCAATGGTAGCTGGTAGATTGTTTCTTCACTAATTTTCTTTCTAAAATCCTCTCATCGTGCTCTAGATCTTTGATACAGAGCTCCGAGATGAAGAAACGGAGGTGTGCTTTATTGACATCGCCTACGACGAGATCCCAGAGCGCTACTACAAGGAGTCCGAGGTAAGATATGTCTTCAATAAAACATAAATATATAATCCATTAAAGAGATGATAAATAATTTATAAGCAATACAAATGTACAAATTTCCCTCTAAGGTACGGGATGTGCTAATAAACACCTCCAATATTTTCCACACTGACCTCTATGGTTTATTCATTTGAGCTCTGTTGATATGGTATTTAGTGCTGATGGGATTTTGTTTTGAAGAGACAGGGGAGTGTTTCTCCCACATAGAAGAAAACAAAGGAGTATGGGTTATTTTTAAGCCAGTTCTGAATTATTAAAAAGGCCCTGTTGAGATCTCTACTGGATACACACAAGACTCAGAATCACCTCTCCACTGTACCGCTGCAGTAATTCATTTCCACACACTGTCTCTCTCCTCCTGCAGAGGTAAGCATAGACAGATGAGAGGAGTGCAGTGTTATCTTTCTCTGGCAGGAGCTTGCTGCTATCTAAGGATCCAGGCCAGCAGTGGTTATGTTTGAGGAATAAAAAAAGCAGAGGTGGGATTAGATGTGGAAGGGAAAAGAACAGCTGCAGTGCTGGGAATGATAAGTGATCACTCTAGTCCTCATTTAGACAAATAAAATCACTTTATATCACAGAAAACAACCTTAGCACTATGTCCTAATGGGGCACAATGCAAATAAAGCAAGTAATGTCAATCTCGTCAGTGTTTGTTCAAAAATATTTGTTGGCCAAAGGTTTATTTTATCAGCAATAAAAAGGTATGGCTTTAAGTAAATTGTTTTAATGAAAACGTACTGAAAATATGAAGAGAAAACCAAGAGTGCACTAAAAATGGTTTTAAAAGAAGAAATATGTAAAAAGAAGTGATTCAAATAATCCATTCATAGTACGTTGAGGTAATGACTGCTTATTAAACACCATGAAACTGAATTTCATCTAGGACATGTGTAATGTACCCCCAATGCATTGCAACGTTTAATTATTAGTTTTTACACCGAATATGACTAAAGGTGTATTTCAAGGTAATAAAAATGTATACTTTATTTAGTCCTCTGTGTTGCTAAACAGCCTGTGAATCTCAGTCATTAACAGTCAACATCTTGCTCTGGGGAAGTTCCAAGTAGCATTTTTGTGCCCTCCAAGGGCATTGTGGGAAGGGGACACTATTTGTATGGTTGTTACAAGCAAAAGTGAACAAATCAGTTCACAAAGGTTCTTTTCCTGATGCTGTTAGCCCAAAGTATTCTTTGTTTTTTACAAGTGCAAAGCTTTTTTTTTTAACCCCCCCCCCATCCCCCATCCCCCATCCTTACAGCATCTACTGAGTGGACGAGTTGAATCAGTTGCCAAAACAAAAAATTTGCGCTAGTATATGTGTGCAGCACATGCCGTAAATTTCATCAGAAGCACAGCACTAACTATGTGTAGTGTGTACTACAGGTCTTCAACCCTGCTCCTGGGGACCCACTGTCCTACAAAGTTTATTTCCAACCTGCTTCAGCACACCTGGCCTGTGACTTTTCAAGTGATCCTGAAGACCTTGAGTAGCTGGTTCCGGTGTGTTTGATTAGGGTTGGAGCTGAACTCGGTTGTTACAAGCAAAAGTGAACAAATCAGTTCACAAAGGTTCTTTTCCTGATGCTTTTTACATCTACTGAGTGGACGAGTTGAATCAGTTGCCAAAACAAAAAATTTGCGCTAGTATATGTGTGCAGCACATGCCGTAAATTTCATCAGAAGCACAGCACTAACTATGTGTAGTGTGTACTACAGGTCTTCAACCCTGCTCCTGGGGACCCACTGTCCTACAAAGTTTATTTCCAACCTGCTTCAGCACACCTGGCCTGTGACTTTTCAAGTGATCCTGAAGACCTTGAGTAGCTGGTTCCGGTGTGTTTGATTAGGGTTGGAGCTGAACTCTGCAGGAAAGTGGGTCCCCAGGAGCAGGGTTGAAGACCTATGCTCTGTATGCTCAGGTTGTGCCTTGACTTTTTTGTACACATTTGTTTGTCCACAATGTCAACAGTACATTGTTTCACAGTCAAAAAAGAACAAAACATTTTTATCGATCAGCACAGGCACTAGTGGGCATGTGTCAAGCACCTGTGTTATTGCGCACTCTTATCAAATGGAGTATACTTTGAAAGCTTACACATAAGGCTGTATGCATACACAAGTATTCACATCAAAACTGAAGTATACTTTGGGCTTAAGTGTATCAGTTATGGTCAATTCAAGGACAGTTTGAACTGTTTTAAAATGTTTTTTGTACTTTTTTATCGATCAGCACAGGCACTAGTGGGCATGTGTCAAGCACCTGTGTTATTGCGCACTCTTATCAAATGGAGTATACTTTGAAAGCTTACACATAAGGCTGTATGCATACACAAGTATTCACATCAAAACTGAAGTATACTTTGGGCTTAAGTGTATCAGTGATGGTCAATTCAAGGACAGTTTGAACTGTTTTAAAATGTTTTTTGTTGTTGTTGTTTTTCACATTTGTCATGTAGCATTTACAGATTAGGTCACTGGATCAAAAACAATGAGCTTCCAGGCAGCTACCATTGATATGAATGGGTAGCTTTCTCCACGTATAATAGACCTCGTTGATTATGATGCCACGATTCTTACCATTCTTGTGTGGGGGAGATGATTTTGTTGTCTATTGAAATAGCAAGGTCTTGGCAGGGTTGGTTCTTTGGCCAGGATTATCAACAGCTCGGTATTCAATAAATTCAGATATGCAGGCAGAAAATGTTAATACCAGATGATATTTGGTTGTCAAGAGGGTGAAAAGAGAATTGAGTATCATCTGCATAGGTATAATGGGAAAAAGCTCAGAGAGGTGATAATTTTGCAAAGTGATTTTGTGAAAAGGGAGAGAAAAAATTGTCCAGGTACTGAACCCTGTGGAACACCGTCATGTAGTTCACTCACTTCAAGTGCTCTGCTCTCCAGAGTGAGTAGAGCAAAGTGATGCAAACTTTTAAATGGAATTCACTCTCTAATTTTGTGCATAAGTACAAAGATACAATATGCTTTCGGGTGTTCCATCAGCTAGAACAGGAGGGCAGGTACAGGCATTAAACGCAATAACACTGGGTAGGAAAAAATGAAATAATACAGTATGTACAAATACAGGAAAAAAATCTAAAATGAAACTATAATCATATAATATAATTAACATCTGTAATTTAAATGTAAAATCATAGATATGTTTGGTTTGTGTACAGAAATTTGCCACCAACCAGAACGCAACATGTACAAGGACAAGTTTACAGTGAGAATAGCTAAAAACTTACAACTTTAGCTAAAAACTTACTTTTACATCAAAGCTAGACTGGAGAGTAATTTACCATTTATTATTAACTGTATAATGAGATATCCAATTGTCAGAGCCATTGCTTAGTGTTTGCATTTGTCATTTTTTTAAATCTGAGTTTCACCTTTTCTTCCCGTCATCTCCTGTCTTCTTTCTATTCTGCTATAAATAAGTTTTAAAAAGGTTGAAATGAGACTTTCTCATGTATTGTGTATATATAATAAACTCTGTGGGCCATTTTATTTGCATTCCAGGACTTTTTATTTTACCTCCATTTTGTATTTCCACTCTAGGACCCACGATATTTTAAATCTGAGAAGACAGCCCGGGGTTTGCTGCAGGAGGGCTGGAGGGACACACAGGATCCCATCATGTGCTCCTATAAGCTAGTAACGGTGAAGTTCGAGGTGTGGGGACTTCAGACACGCGTGGAGCAGTTTGTGCACAAGGTCACTTCCACCACTCCACATGCATATCCCGGAGGAGCCCCCTAAAACCCTAACCTTGTAGTTACTCTCACTGCAGATCACTCAGATCTATAGATAGATCTGTCTATCCAGCTGTGCTTACCATGATATCATGTAGCAGCACAAGTCCCTGGATCATCTATGTTGGTTCTGAAACAATATTCCTGTCAACCAATCAGATTTAAGGGTTAGGATTAGCCAGCTTTGTGCTGGAGCTGGAGCTTCAACAACATTTCTTTTAACTTTTCATTTTCTTCTGATGTTAGGGTTATTGATAGCATTGGGGTTAGGGAAGATTAGGGATATGTTCGTTTCACAGAAGTAATTCTCCAGCACTAAAAAAGATCCAGGAACACATCCACTACACATGTATACTTGGCAACATCACAATCACCATATATTTTACCCGTCTTTCTTTCTGTAGGTGGTAAGAGATGTGCTGTTGCTGGGTCATAGACAGGCTTTCGCTTGGGTTGATGAGTGGATTGGTAAGTTTGGCATTGCACACATTCTTCCCTTCAGATTGTTGTTTATTCATCTCTTTACCTTTACTTGCGGTTTATTTTGTGTTGACTCTGTCCCAGAGTCGTGACTAACAAAGCTCATGGATGCTGAAGGATGTCGTGATCCATAGCTCACAACCGTGTTTAGTTTTGCATGAGTCACAGCAAGAACAAACAGACAGAAAAGATGTTTCAGCTGTGAAATTCAGCTCTTTAAAATTGTTCTTCATGTTCTCATCAAGGACCTTGACCATACTGATTAAATTAGATGGCTTGATCACATTTTTCAGTCATAAACACTTAAAGTGTTCAGATTACCAAACATAGAAAGCAGAGCTGTTTTCTCCTCAAAAAAAGGAAAAAACAGCATCTCTTTTACCTCTGTTGGAGATTAGAGCAGGGGTTTCCAATCCTGCTCCTGGAGGGCCACGTTTCAGCAGTTGAGCTCTTGCCCCCAATTAAACACAGCTAATCAAGGTCTTCAGGATCATTAGAAACTTCAAGTGTGGTGTGTTGGAGCTAAACTCTACAGGAAGGTGGTCCTCCAGGAGTAAAGACCATTGCACACCCAGTCTGAAATTTTCGGACGTTGAAAAATAAATACGACCTCACGTTGTCAATCACGTATACACACTGCCTCCGAAACTTTCATCCGTCATTAAAAAATTTGGATCGGGTTCAATTTTCTGCGTTTGTCGCATCCGTAGCAAACATTTTGAGAGGTGTTTTGACAATTCAGAGCCACCGTACAAGCGAACGCAAAAAAATCCAGAATGGCGATTGTCAAGTTCATCCACTTCGTCTCGCACTGTAAAGATCCTTGCACACTGAGTTCACAGAAATTGATGGTCTTCGTTTTAATATGTGGCTCTAGTATCGCTAGCAAAGCATCAAACTTGAGCCACTGACATCCTGAAGTAAGTTTTCAATTGCCCGTGAAAATCCCGTCGCTCTTTAATAAGGAGAGGGAACTCTCCTTCTATATCTTAGGATTGGATGGACCCAATATTTCCTTTCTTTTTCTCTTTTTAAGAAGAGAGGAAAACAAAACCATTCTCACTGCTTGAAGACTCCATTTAGTACTGTTTCGCAAATTATGGATTAATACGCATCGGACTCAGTGTGCAAGGACTCAGGCAAATTTTTAGGATGACTAATACGAAAAAATGCATATGAAAATTTCAGACTCCGTGTGCAAGGACACCCCTGAATTTTCGATACCCCTCACTACCATCATGGCATTATTAACCAGGATTCGATGACTAATGGTATGAAAGGAAGACAGCTATAAATAATAGACACACAAAAGCTTGTAGAAACAAATAAAAGTGACATGAAATATTTTACTGCAGTTTGTTAATGGAAGCCTCGTGAATATCAGATTGAATATGATTTCATATTGGATGTGTTTAATCCAGGGGTCAAACTCAACTACTGTGGGGCCATAGTTCTGCAGAGTTTAGCTTCAACTCTAATTAAACACAACTGATCCAGCTAATTAAGTCCTTCAGGTTTACTAGAAAGTACAAGTAGATGGGTTGAAGCAATGTTGGAACTATGTTGGAACAGGACTGTTGCCCTTCAACATCTGAGTTTAACACCGCTGGTTTAGACCAGTATAAATTACATTAGGGAGGAGACTTCATCTTCATGTTTCAGATGTCCACTATACCCCATTAATTGAAATGTCTTTGCTTTGGATGTTTAAAGACATGACAATGGAGGAAGTGAGAGAATATGAACGAGCCACTCAGGAAGCCACCAATAAGAAGCTGGGAACCTTTCCGCCTGCTATTTCCATCAGCGAGACGCCCCTGCCAGCCTGTGCTCGTAGCGGCCCATCCAGTGCTCCCTCTACACCCCTTTCCACTGAAGCTCCAGACTTCCTTTCTGTGCCCAAGGACAGACCACGGAAGAAGTCAGCTCCGGAGACCCTGACTCTTCCCGACCCAGCACGGAGAGAAATTTTTTTATTTTACTAATGAGATTCATTGTGTCCAAGAAACGTACATTTTAAGTTTTAAATTTGTGATGAAACGGAAGAAGCGACAAATGGAATATTGTTTCTGCCAATTGGTTAAAAAAAAATAAAACAAAAAAAACCTCACAATTCTGGCTTTATATCCAGCAGTTGCGAGTTGGTATCCCACAAGTTCGATTTCAGTTTTTTTTATTATTATTATTATTCTTTCAGAATAGTTTATATCTGTGTTATATCTAGATACCAGAGAGAAGTCGTTAATTTTTACCAAAAGGTTCAGTGATGACATTTTGATTAAATTACAAGGTCAGTTTTTCAAAATAAAAAATAAAACATGCTTTTATAAAATAGATTGGGTGAATTTTCATTGCATGCCGACATCAACATTGATCACGCGCACTGGCGCAAAACTTTTATTTTGAAGTTGGAATGTACGGCTTTGATTTTGAAGTTGGAATGTACGGCTTTTATTTTGAAAGTGTGTTTTCATTCATTGCTGTTTACGCGCTTGATCCGCTAACAGTATATGTTATTATCTGAGTGAGTTATCAGTTTTTATCCTAACTTAGGACCACGTTTATTTTGGAAACGCCACGTATTATTAAACATTCCCAATGGAAGATTATTTTTATTGACGATAAATTATTGAGAAAGACATGCTAGCTAATAGCTGTTGTTGCTACCACATAGGCTGGTTGGTTATCAACGTTCCATTAAGAACTTCATTGTATTCATTCATATTTGCATTACTTTATTAGATACACGCGTAACTTACTATCAAGATATATTTGCTAATGCTGAGATCTGCAGGGGGTTTAATTCGTTACACGACACTAAAAACACGCTATGGCTCAACGTTACCACCGAGACCATCACCACGAGTCTGTTGATAAGAGATGCGGAGACTCCAGCGCTGATTATCAGACGAATAAACGCCACAGATCGTCAGATGAAGGCCAGCACAGAGCAGCCGAGACCCTGAGCGCTCACAGACAGCTGTATGAGAGACACTTCCCGCTCTATAAGCAGCCCGTGGAGGTGGGCTGCTTCTCTCTGGACTCTCGCAGGAGCTTCAGCAACGACCAGAGGCAGCTGCGCTATTATACACATACATATACATGATAATAATATACACACACACGCATATATATATACATGATAATACACACACACACACATATATATCTATATATATATATACATACATACACATACATGATAATAATATACACACACACACACACACACACACACACACACCATATTCAGAAAAACACAGAATTGTTGACATTTTTGCAGATTTATTAAAAAAGAAAAACTGAAATATCACATGGTCCTAAGTATTTTTGTAAGTATCATTGTCCCAGAATGTATGCACTGCTCAGCTAGGTAACTAAACTTAAAACCACATAAACACTTATTTGAAATAAAGTAAAATGCCAATGCGATAGTTCTCATTTTCTTTTAGTTGATGTACTAAAATAAAAACTAAATCTGTAGTAAAAATGACAAAAACGCACTACAAAAATACTAAAACTTTCATAAAAAACATAATTCAGAATATTAATCAAAAGCTATAACAGTACCTCAGCGATACTAAACTAGCACTTCAGCACAGATGTCTTGTTTCTGTCAGTTGTTCTTGTTTTCTGTTGAGTTATTGAGTGTGTTTGCAGTGCTCTAGGAGTGGACTTTGTGACATGGAGAGGACACCTAACCAAAGTGCTGACCACCCCATACGAGACTCAAGAGGGATGGATGCTGGCCGCCTCCAAGTTCAGAGGCTCCATCTACATCAGTGAGGTGGAAACAGAGGCGGCCAGAGTGAACCGAGAGACCCGCTCCCAGCGGCAGGAGGAGATGATGTACTGGGGCTACAAGTTTGAGCAGTACATATGCGCAGGTCTGGGGCGTCTAGTATTTTGTACTATCAGACAAATAACGGATCTCACCACTTATCGACTGTTTTCCTTCCTTTTAAGATGATGTGGATGGGACTCCAAACCCAGGGGGCGTCGTGAACACCAATGAAGCGTTCTGTACGGTGGTTCAGACGCGTCTGGCCGACCATAAGCTGCTCTTCTCTGGAGAAGTAGACTGCCGCGTCAAAGACCCTGATGCCCCTCCAGCACCGGGATGTTATGTGGAGCTCAAGACCTCCGCAGAAATCTGCACCCCGAAGCAACGAAGCAACTTCCACAGGTGAAACTATCAATGTGCCACAGAATTAAAACCTGTTCACACCAACACATATGTTCGGCACAAAATGAGGTCTGATTTTTATTAAAAAACAGCAAAGTGGCTGAAAGGAAATGCTAATTCAAACTCTAACGGTGGCACTTAAAAAAGAAGAAATTAGTGCTGTCAAACGATTAATCGCGATTAATCGCATCCAAAATAAAAGTTGTTTACATAAAATATGTATGTGTACTGTGTATATTTATTTTTTATATATAAATACAAGCACATGCATGTATAGAGTTAGAAAATGTAATGTATGCATGCATGTATAGAGTTAGCGAATTTAACCGCCCGTAACTCCCGAAACCCCGGGGGCTATCGACGCGGGGGTGGTCTCATTCGAAAGAGGGCCTCTAGACGTACACTCGGATCCCCCAAATTTGGTGAGGATTCGCCGGCGCCTTTACTGAGATATGGCCGTTCAAAGTTTCAATGGTTTTCTATAGACTAAGCTTTAAAGCGTTTCATCCAGGTTGCCAGTAGCAAACAATGGAGCGCACTCTGCTGGACAAACTAAGTAATTACACCATTTCAAGCATTTTATCTGATTTATATGTTCTGAAAAAAAAAAAAGTTCATATCGGCGGCATATTCGCCGATGCCGATATATCGGCGAAAGGCTCATATCGGCCGATAATATCGGCTAAACGATATATCGGTCGGGCTGTAGTATATATTTAGAAAATATTTACGTGTATATACATACGTATTACGTGTTATATTCATATAATTTAATTTATATATAAATATATTTAATATATAAACAACATATTTTTCTTATACGTAATATATATATACTAATATATACGTAATATATATATAGTACACACACATATTTTTCTCAAGGGTTGAATACATTTATGGGGCATTAATTAAATTAAAAGTGTGAACAACAGCTAGCATCTTAGAAACATGCATGTATGTATATTCCTCTTGTAGGTACAAGCTTCTGAAATGGTGGGCGCAGTCGTTTCTTCCTGGAGTGCCACAGATAGTCGCTGGGTTTCGAGACCATGATGGGATAGTGGTGACTGTTGAGACCTTCCCAACCTCGAAAATTTCACAACTCATCAAGGTTTGCTCTATATAACCACATAAGATTAGTCAGTAAGATTTTTTATGTTTTTTTAAAAGATGTCTTTTATGCTCACCAAGGCTGCATTTATTTGATCAAAAATACAGTAAAAACAGTAATATTGTGAAACTGTATATTACTAATATTATTACTATTTAATTTTTGATTTTTAATATATTTTCAAATGTATGTTTATATTTATTCCCGTGATGCAAAGCTAGCTTTTCAGCATTTTCGGTCTTCAGTGTCACATGATCCTTCAGAAATCATTCTAAAATGCTGATTTGCTGCTCAAGAAACATTGTTGTGATAATAACCGTTGCACTTCTGCATATTTTTGCGGAAACGGTGATGCATTTTTTCAAGATTCTTTGATGAATAGAAAGTTCACAAGAACAGCATTTATCTTTTGTAATTTTATAAATGTCTTTACTGTCACTTTTAATCAGTTTAATGTGTCCTTGATGAGTAAAAGTATTAATTCATTTAAAAACGGTAGTTTTAACGATAGTTCATAAAAAATAGTGCATAGCATACTTATTGTGTAGTCAGTTTGTAATTAGATTGAACTACATTTAGCAGTCATGTTGAATGGAATTGAAATCTTTTGAATGTCAAATTTTCACTGAGCCCATTGCAATGCATTCTGGGATTGCCTTACTTATGAAGGATACATGTGATGCTGCCTTAGAAATTTGGCCATAAACAGGTTCCTTAGAACAGGAACAGCCTTTGCTTTGGGAGCACATCTGTGATGCCTAAAAATGCAGTTCACTGTTGTCTGGAATAGAGCTGTGATGTTTTCGTTTCTCTTTATTCTATAGAATGAGTTTAACTGCTGGAAGCCAACAGTCTGTATGAATTTCTGCAACGATTTCTTGTCCTTTGTCAAATCAGTCGTCAAAGAGGACGACCCAAGGTAAGAGGGTTGCATGTGATCGAAAATGCGTCGGCATTAAATAAAAAATAGTCCCTACTCACTTTCTTAAAGGGGTCATATGATGCTGCTAAAAAGAACGTTATTTTGTGTATTTGGTGTAATGAAAGGTGTTTATGCGGTTTAAGGTTCAAAAACAAATTTTTTCCCACATACTGTACATTATTGTTTCCCACATACTGTACATTATTGTTTCTCCCCGCCTTTCTGAAACGCATCGATTTTTATAAATCTCATCGGGCTGAAAAAGCGAGGTGTGCTGTGATTGGCCAGCTATCCAGTGCGTTGTGATTGGCCAAATTCCTCGCGTGTGACGGAAATGTTACGCCCCTCACCATACTGTGATGTCTGCGGCAACCACATGTGACGACCCCGGGCTGGACTCTGCTTCATCCATGGTGAAAGCCGATCCGGCGATCCACAGCGCAAAGTTGTAGTATTTCCTCAGCGACCAGCCCGGATCAGCTCCAGGCATGACGAAGCGATATCGTCCTCTTTTGGAAGGCCAAACAAAGTAGTTTCGCTTTCACAACGAATCACACAGCGCCTTCACAACATGGCGGGGGCGACAACAATACTACAACGAGAATAAAAGTTACGCCTTCTTTCTTTGCGTGAACATTTGGGCGGCGTTATGCAAATCTTTCCACATAGTGATGTAGATATGTGGGGGCGTGTTAGAACGAGCCGTTTTAGGTAGGCGTGGCTGACTCTTAACTTTTATAAAGAATATCTCTTGGGATTTGAGACTTTAGTCTGTGCAACTTTACAGATCTTCTTTATGCACCAAGAGCTTGTAACACTCCAAAGAGAAAGGAAAAATTGAAATCGCATCATATGACCCCTTTAATGCACTTTCAAGGTCTCATTTTGAACATTTCATCAGTGCATGTTGGAAAATAATTTGTTGTTGTAATCCTTTGCAATTTAACTTGTACTTGTCACAATCAAATCAGTCCCTGAAAATCAGGTCCCATACCTTTTTTATTTTTAAATATGTGTCAGATTATACAAGTAAAATGGAATGAACAACTTTAACATCTACCCTCTAATCGGAGATTGTGACTGGTCTGATGTGATGTTTTTCAGACTGGTGTACCTGTTCACATGGGATCCACACAGAGACGTGACCTACGCCGTCCACAGAGACTCTCAGTATACCTTCTTACCAGAGTGGTACATCAAGGACATGAGCAGTCCTCATTCATCTCACCACTGATATACTGAGCTCACACTGTATGCAGGACGTAAGGACATCTTTGTCTTGTTTATGTATCATGTGCATACTGTATCAGAGCAGTGCATGACTTGCCATTGCTTGTGTTTTCTATGAATGCTCTGGATTCAGTGTGTGGCCTTGGAAAGTACACCAAACATATCGACTTGATGTCCATGTGCACGTTGACTTTTTTTATATAAATATATTGGGATTTTATCCTTGATAACCTCAAAATATCCTTGAGCTATTTAACAAAAAGACAGTGTACCTATTTGTGACCCTGGATATGAATGCTCTGGATTCAGTGTGTGGCCTTGGAAAGTACACCAAACATATCGACTTGATGTCCATGTGCACGTTGACTTTTTTTATATAAATATATTGGGATTTTATCCTTGATAACCTCAAAATATCCTTGAGCTATTTAACAAAAAGACAGTGTACCTATTTGTGACCCTGGGGCACAAAACCAATCTTAAGTCGCTGGGGTATATTTGTAGCAATAGCCAAGAAAACATTGTATGGGTCAAAATTATTGATTTTTCTTTTATGCCAAAAATCATTATGATATTAAGTAAAGATAATGTTCCATGAAGATATTTTGTAAATTTCCTACCGTAAATATATTCAAACTTAATTTTTGATTAGTAATATGCATTGCTAAGAACTTCATTTGGACAACTTTAAATGCGTTTTTCTCAATATTTCGATTTTTTTTGCACCCTCAGATTCCAGATTTTCAAATAGTTGTATCTCGGCCATTGTCCTATCCTAACAAACCATACATCAATGGAAAGCTTAGTTATTCAACTTTCAGATGATGAATAAATCTCAATTTCATTTTTTTGGTTTTGTCCAGGGTCACATTTGAAGTCTATAATTTTGACAGTATTTACAACAAACTGGCCCTAATTCATGAAATTTCTTGTAAAGCTGTTATGTAAATTCTTTTAATTGATTCAATGTGAGAATTTAAATGAACGTTTGTACAAACAATTTCCATTTGTGGAAGAAAAAATACATATTGTGGCCATGACTTGAGAATTTATTACCACAATTTAAGAATTTGTGGCTGAGTTAGATTTTTTTGTTCCCTCGTTTTAGTTAAATCCTATCCTCATTCCCTCATTTTAATTTAGATTTAACTAAAGGGAACAAATTAGTACGTGTACATACAGTGCACAGCATAAATGAGTACACCCCCTCTGAATAAATAGAAAAGATGTATTTTCTTAATGATCACTAATATAATTTATGGAAATATGGCAAAATTGAAACATATTAAACATATACTTAATAAAAATAACAAAATATATGCCAATAAATGAAGGATTGCAGAAATGAGTACACCCTAGATTTAATTCAGAAAATGTATAATATTCTAGTACTTAGTATGTCCTCCAGAACTTAAAGTACACTGCTCTGACCCTTCTTGGCACTGAGTGTATAAGTTCATGACAAATGTTCACATCTGTGCTGTTTAACTCCTGGAGGATGACCTCCTTGAATGCTCCGATATTTAATGGGGAGTGTTGCTCAGCTCGTCTCTACAGAATCCCCCACAGCAGCTCAAGAGTGTTAAGATTGAGTGAAATACATATCCACTGAAGGATTTTCACCTTGGGAGAGTGAATATATTCATTGTCATTCTGAAAAAATGCCCAATAATGCAGGGAATGAGGAGAGGTAGAATCTTCTGTTTCAAGATTTTGTATTACATCACACAGTGGTGTGTGAATTCATGAAAGCGTTGATAAAGTACAACTCCCTCACACCTTCAGCACTCATTCATCCCTATAGAAGAGCCACTGTGGGAACCAGGCACTTCTCTCTGTACTCCTCCTCTAGCAACACCAGAACACGTTGGATGCTTTTGGATCCGAAATGATTGACTTGGTCTCTTGAGACCAGAGTATGGATTCCCAGAAGTCTCTATTTTGTAAATATGGGCCCTGGAAGAGGTTAAATGAGTTTATTGTGCTTTGGCTACAGTAAGTAATTCTAGTGGTGACAACAACCATGCACGTCACTTCTGCAGGCTGCGTCATACTCTGTGAGATAAAGTGTCACTCTTTTCACAGCTTTTGCCGGCTCTGAGACACTTTCACAGTGTTTCTCCTGCTCTTTTTCTAGCAAAAACTCACAAAGTTTTATTTAGTAACTTTCAGGAGGGTTGTACTCATTTTTGCAACACAAAATTGTATCACTTTGATAAGAAAATCTTATTTTGCTGAATAATTTTGGCTTTCTTCTTTGGTAATTGATCAAGCAGACTTGTTGGAACGTTACATCTCCAAAGAACCTTAACATGTCTTCTAAGTAAAGAGTAATTGCTGAATTTGTTTAGAGGGGGGTGTACTCATTTATGCTGTGCACTGTAACTTAAATGAGGAATTCCTAATTCATGGCCATGACATCTTGTGTTTTCTTCCCTGTCACGTGCGGGACTCTTTTGGCTTATAGCAGAGAAATTATTCCTCACAGGATTTATTCCATAGCTTTTATTAGAATTTACTTTAAACATGCCAAAAAAGTACAGTACAGTTAAATAACAAAGGTCTAACAAATGAAAATACAAAATATGCGCTATAAATTCTGAAATAAAGAAACTTGAGTACAAACTCTTAGTGGCAATTTCATTATGTAAACTGTTTTAGTTTTTAATATTAATATTACTGTATATGGCCCACAAGATAAAACGGTTTCATTGACACAGCAGGCAAGATTTCAATCAACTGGAGTTGCTCTCAAAAAAGGCATAAATTAAGGCAAGTATTGTGTGAAAAAATTCGCTTTGACCCTCAAGCTCATGTTTACGCTGAGCCGTGCATTTTAAATGCCTTTCACGAATGCTAAAATATGCTAAATATCTTTCAAGTGACTGAACAAAACTCATGCTTAACTAAACTTTCAAAACTTATTGTTCATGATTTGAAACTGGGAGAGATGTTAAAATGCAACCATAAAAGAAAAACATTCTCTACACTTGGTGGTTCTCAACCAGTTTTGCTCCAGGATCCAGATTTTACATTGCCAACATTGTTCATTGTGTAAAAGTACAGGTATATTTCAGTAAAATTGATGTGGAGCATCAGAGAGGACACCTCTCCAGATTTTTTCCCTTTTATATTACTGATGTTCAAACAAATTTGTTTCCAGAGATCATCGCCTGGTTTATATGGCTCTACTGTATTGATCGAAGCACAATACCATTTGTGCCAAATGTATCATCATTAACTGCTCTCTATTCACATGACAGATCCAACCCTTCATACACTTTCCAGTTTCCGAATGAAAACCAAACGTATATTGTTAGAGACATTTAAAAGGGTCATATGATGCAATTTAAATTTTTCTTTTCTCTTTGGAGTGTTACAAGCTCTTGGTGCATAAAGAAGATCTGTAAAGTTGCAAAGACTAAAGTCTCAAATCCAAAGAGATATTCTTTATAAAAGTTAAGAGTCAGCCACACCTACCTAAAACGTCTCGTTCTAACACGCCCCCACATGTCTACGTCACCATGGGGGAAGATTTGCATAACGCCACCCAAATGTTCACGCAAAGAAAGGCGGTGTAACTTTTATTCTCGCTGTAGTATTGTTGTTGCTGCCGCCATGTCGTGAAGGCGCTGTGTGCTTCGTTGTGAAAGTGAAACTACTTTGTTTGGCCTTCCAAAAGAGGACGATATCCACTTCGTCATGCCTAGAGCTGATCCATGCTGGTCGCTGAGGAAATACATCAACTTTCACCGTGGAC